TTTGCTCAGGTACGTTACCAGCTGATAGCTCGTTAAAACTACGTAGGCTCTGATGTAATGAATGGCGCGCAGTTGGATAGTTTGTAGATGTTTCTTGTGGAACAGAACGAGACGGGAAGGTCGCTCTTTGTGTATCGTTTTGTGAGGAAGCGTTTTCGGAAGAAGACTGATTGCACAGGTTCATAATTAATGAATATTTAATCCTTCACTGTTATTTGTCCTACCAACGAACGTACCTAGAAGGAACTATTCCCCTTGCGGACATTTATGCTATCCGGTAGAGCACTCTGAAGCTCGCTTACTTTAGTAAACTAAGTGGACCCGCATAAAATATTTTTTCATGCGACCGATACTCATCCACGATATACTTTATCTGATCAGTCAGAAGCATCCTGAAATGCTCAAATAACCTCACCAGCTGGGGACCAGAAATGACACATACAACTACCACATCATGCGGGAAAGTAACTAAATATACCACACTACTGTCTATATCCCATACGTCGTTCAATGGAACAGCTCAAATCTTTGTAAAAACCACTAGTATTCGATCCACATAGCCTTCTTGGCACAAGGAAGCCTTATAAATGAGCAACAAATTCATGCACGGTTGTCCTAACTAATGGTCTAACGGTGGCTACTACTGATGAGGCATGCGAGTAGTGTCTCCCCGGAAATCCGCTTCGCGCCTCTTGAAAAGTGATATCTATTACGGAGTTTGTGGGGTCGCTTTGTGGTACTTGCTTGCATTTGAGTTACGGCCAGGAAAGTTCAGGAAGATGCGTTCAAGGAGAAGATGCATATTCGGTTTCGTAAACAAGATGCATATGAAAGTTTTGCTCCCCTGTCCAATAGGCTGTAACTGTTCAGTTGGTAATTCTCTAATAAACAACTCCGCAGCGAAGGTCATCTTCCCTTCACTGGTACTGCTGACATTCATTTCTGTCGTTTATGACTGAATTTCTCATTGTCCATTGGTGCTATCATATGTTTGGCAATCCTTGCCTGCCATTTAAGCTCTTCACGGGGAGTTGTTTATTGGCAAACACTAACCGAAGGGTTACAAGCTAACCTCAGGGCAGCAAACATCACCTATGCATTTCATTTTTGAAAACTGAACATCCTCACGCGTCTTCTTGAACTTTCGTGGATATTCACCGGCCACGGCGCAATTTTAAACAAACGTTGCAAAGCAGTTTCGTACTAAACCTCATGGGATGCGCTTTCCATTAGACGCAGGACAGAGTTACCAGAAAACCACATAACACCCGCATGCATCATTAGTTGTACCCGCTGTTACATTAGGGCCTTTGGTGGTGTATCTCGAGGCCTGGACTGAATAGGCTTCTAGGAGTGTTAATACCCCATCCTTAGAACAGAGATCTCTATCTGGGATCTCTCCCTGAATCCTGGAAATTTATATAGACCGAGGCTTGCCAGGTTAGTGATAGGTAGAAGTTACAAGTATTGCATTGCCTAAATCCGACTTATGTTTATAACTGATCCGGTCGATGATGCACCTGAACTCATCTAGCCGGGAGGTCACTGTAGCGCGAAATCACCAATCAGATCGAGAACGTCAGGAGGGCCTCTCTGAACAAAAATATCTACATCAGAAATATCGAACTGCACCAAAATGTTTTTCAAAGCCATGAGATGTGGATAAATGACATCCGAAAACATCCAATGGTTGATCATTCTTCAAAAATATGTTAATTCTCATCACCTGACCTTCGTTAATTATGTCATCTAGTTACATGGTGGAAAACCACTGGTGTTCACAAATCCATGCATACAAAGGGGGCAATTTTGAAGGAGATTTCGGAATTTTTAATGCCTCAGCTAATAAAATATAATGCAGTGTTTGGTTTCACTGGACTTACTACTTCGGAGCCAGTATTTAATGACTGACGGGTGGGCCCAAATCGTGCAGCCGAATATGTTTAGTAGCAGAAATTGATATCAACATTGTCTCACTTTCTATCTTTCTGTCTAGTCAAAATCGTAACTCAATTTCATGTCAGTAAGCAGTCCAGGTCACTGCCTATAACTTCAGACGATTTTTTTCCTCATTCTATTTTTTCTGTCTAAACGAAACCATGGCAGCTGAAACATACGTGACTTTATAGCCCTGCTAAAAACTTAACTAAAATAAATTAGCGGACGTTGGTAAGTGACGCCAGAAAGAGTTGCTGACTGCCCAGCATATTATCAATTCATTGTCACCGAAATGAAAAACCATGTTAGTAAATGAAACTGGATAGTGTGCAAAATTGCACCCAAAAATTCCTGTTGCTTTTCTAGAGTACATTGCGAATTTTTTATAACTATGTATGCATTTTTCAATACAGCGTTTTCAAGTTGTCAGATATTTAACTCCAAACTGCATTCAGTCGCTTATAGAGCGCAGGTCCTCGTAAGGTCTGTCTTCCAGCAGCCTAATTAAATGCGGAGTAGGTGGAAAAGATCTTGAGTTAGTAGTCGGCCAAAGTGTTGTAAACCACTCCATTATTTTGATGACATTAGTAGTGCAGCTGTCGGTGAAATTGAGAACGACTTTTCCCTGTATGGATGCCGCTCAAAATGAGTGGGGAAAAAATGACAGAGAGCAGCTTCTCAGGAGAGAGTCGATGGATATGTGCCAAACAGGATGAATTTTTGTAATTAATTTGCGTTGCTCTACAGCCCAGAAAATGATGATTTGGAGAGTATTTCCCATAAAATCTATAAAACCGTCACCGCATCTATATACCGGGTAAGGTAATTTTATTTGACACAAACGATCATCAGGGTGATAAGTTTGAACGTATCCTAACCGACTGAAACTACCTAAGAGCGCTCGCTGTTGCTAGATATCTGTGGTTGTAAAAAATACGTTGGTCAGATAACAATGGTTTTGATGCTTTGGGTCATTCAACTCCGTGATTGATGTTATTTCTGTTCGTAGAATGCACACAAATGCTGGACAAGCTGCGGTAAAGCCGTTACGATCTCACTTTGATCCTATCATGATATAAAACGCTCTAAGACTGCCAATCGGTTTTGGGGCGCGTTATTAGTCCATTATTTTTTCTAAATTCCTCACTGATGCTTATTCTGGAAAGCCGTATCCCAACTGTGGTTGCAGAACTAAATGTTGCGCTGGCGTTTTGTCTCGAATTAGCGTGTCAGATCGCACTATGCCGGTTTATCGACACGCAAATATGACCCTTTGTGCTGAGTCACGTATACATCCACCTGATTGCTCTGCACTGAGTGCACACCGGAGGGACCTGGAAAAAAAGAGTTCAGCTCGAAAACCAGTCCGATTTTAACTGCAAACTGAACGCTTACCCTCCAAAATATAGGGAAATGTAGTCTAGATGGCCAAATCACTCGTAGGGCACATATAGCGGGATTATGTTGCTCGTCGGTCTGGTAACACCGGTCATGGCTAGAACTGTTGTAGGCTTAGAACTCTCGAAGTTCCGTCGTGCTAAGATACACACTGGCTTATACATTAGAAATGAAGACAATAATCCAATCAGTCAAATAAAATATACAATAACGAAACATGACGCAATACAGCATTGTACACTGTTATTAGACGCATTACAATTAACATTAGACGGATATGACTAAGCGCCGAATACAAGCGGGTAGACGGGAGACCTGAACAAGACATTTGACAGTGAACCAGGGTAAATAGTTGTAAGTTTAGTTGCTGGAACACACTCGGAAGATATTGGTGTCAACTTCAGATGTGAGTGATTGAGCGCTGTTCTGCGTATGGCTTTCTCTCGAAATCATGCTTACTAAATAAAGGTTTAGCACAGTGAACAAATTCTGATAAATGTGAAAACGGTGCCAACATTCTGGAGCCCGTAAACCCCAAGCTGACCTGACACTCAAAATTAAGTTAGTCCACAAATTCCCTCACAGCATTTGTCGCTACCTTTCAGGAAGAAACTCTCAACTGGGGTTTTGTGCTCCTTCTAAGCATAGATTCGCTCTCGATTGATCACATGATTGGACCTCTTATGGAGCTGGCCTCGCTTCCATGTAAAAAAGCGATGTATCTAAAAGATTACGAAGAGAAGGGGCCGTGAGCTGAAAATGCTGATCCAAACGGCATCGCGGATAGAGAAAAGGTATTCTATTCTGCGTCTCAGAGAATTAATCTCTCCAGAGGTCACTTTTTCCGCACGGAAATATATATCTTCCACTTTAGTTCCAGTATACGCTTGTAACAGATGTCCAGGGTGTCCAGTATAATGATGTTTTGAAAATCACTGGAGAAGGGTTATGAAAGACTTGGTCATTTCCGTTTAAAGTAATATAATGATGATGCTAGCGACTGGTCGAGATCCTTCAGCTGCATTTTGGTTGGATCTCATGAAAATGTTGCAATTCATTTGTGACCGGCTTGCAATTACTCTACAGCATTTAGGGGCGTAAAAGTTCCCCATAAGGTATGTATGATTCTATACCCATAACGTCAAGTATTTGGTGTTGTAGTGTTAGGTCATAAAAAAGCTACCAGTGATTCATTCTTTCGGTGGCGGATGACCAAAAATTAGCACCTAATTTCTATCATTCAGTTTAAAAATAGACTTGAAACCTCGTTTAACCCATGGGTACAAAAAGTTGCGCACTGTGCCATGCTCTGCAACCCGCAGACAAATATAATTTACTCCTTTTCCCACCAAACCTTAAAGCGGACGTGTAGGAAAAATTGGCGCTTATAGGGTGACTTTGGTGATCACAACGTGAGTTTCCTAATTCCAGTCGCTTTTCGTAGACCATCGCTGTAGCATGCTTTGTAGTTAATCGTATTTGGAAACTGAAAAACCCCAAGACATTCACGCAAACAAAACCAAACTGTCCCCGGACCTTTTCATAGCTATAGGCGCTGAACTAATTTACGCTTCGACCATCGCCCCTTCGCTCACATTAGGAAAATGCATTCTGCATTTCAGTATATGCTATTATCAATTCCCCTGTCTCCATCCCTATTTTAGGAAGTTGGGAGCATCATTGGAAAGGTGAGTTTTTGTTTATCCGATATTGTGCTCATTACTGGTTGTTTCCCTTTCAACCTCCAAAGTTGCGTTTTTTGATCAATCTCATGCTCTTGGGCAAACGGAAAAATCAGCTTGGATGAAATCGATACCCAAAGGATTTTAATTGCATATGTGCGGAAAATAGGCTTCTGCTTAATACTGAATCTTTTCAGAACTGGTGGAGGCTACACCATCCGAGGCTTGATGATAAACATATGACACGAGGCACGATTTCATTCAACTACCGTTTATTTGGTAAACATCAACGTTTCTGTGTTTGGAACAAATATGACAGCTGAGCCGTAGTAGTTTTATGAAAACGTCCCAATCGATGACGGATTTTTGATTTACTTAGTCCACGGGCACTTATACGTCCAACGATCGCATACCAGTTTCCACATCTTTCGGTAGCCGTACATTTTGAACCGAAGGTATCGCAACGGTTTCGTTTCATATTATACTTAGTACATTTTGGAGATCACCGAATCTATAACGTTTCATTTGCACACATTTCGTTTTTCTTTAAAAGCATCAGTTTTGACAGTCGTCTAAGTGTCTCATTAGATCTTAATGCAGGATATATTGTAGGGTAAGCTAAACTGGAAAGAACGTGCATCCGTGATCAGTTTAAAAGTGGTGCCAAGTTAGTGAACCCAAAATGTAGAGCTTTATTGTGCCAAAAATAACGCCCATTCTCACAGATGCGTTCGGAATTTATCCCCCCAAAAATACAAAAAAATATGTTCTAACCAACGTAAATTCAAGGAAACGGTAAAGCAAGCAAACCATAAGCATGGCAAGCAAGCCTTCAGTCATTTTCGCTTCTTGGTCGGTTGACTTTCAAAGAATTTATTAGTCTTCTTGATTTTATGTGGACATTTGTGAGTGAGGGGCCTGTCAACTACATTTTATCAACAATTAAAAGATCACACAAGAGGTTTTGTTTGCACTTAAAGCATGAAAATGAAGGGTGCGTCAGTGCCATTAGCCGATTTAGCACCTCGCATGGTACTGTGCTACTATGCCACATGTAAAGCTCAAAAACAAAAGAAAACAAAGTGATTCTTTTGCACCTCCAAAGCCTAAGAAAATCAGTGCTGTTTGATTACAATGCGGAAAAATTCACAGGCGTTGTATCCTCACCGAAAATAGCTAGCATTGCACATCCCACAAAAAATCCAAGAAGATTTGAACCAGCAACTTCCCGTACTGTGCATACAAATGGCCTACCGGCATGAAGGATACTCATACAGACGTCCGCCAGTTAGGGACTGAGCTTCTTGTGAATCTGGTGGTAACTTGTCCAAGAATTTCAGATTGCTGACCCAATAGTCTGAGGAGTTTTTGGTAAGTGTACAGTCCACCTGAATGTGTGACGCAGGTTGGTATATACCTAAGACAGTGCATGGTAACATAAGCAGTGGAACGTTGTGTACTCTATTATGTTGTGTTGCAAAATACGGATGAGAGTCGTGGAGTAACTGTTTTGACAAATCAACCTCTGGACTAAGATAAGGTCAAACAGTTACAGGAAAAGCGCAAATCTTCGCCGAGAGCCCCCTGGTTTTTGCGTGGTCATCTTGAATTAGCTAACAGGACAATTTTGTTTAGTGAAAACAACCTATGCTGAAAAGCTTGGGAAACACTGTACAACTGTGTCATCTCGTGAAACTCAGAGGGTCTCACAGACGCGACCTTCGGGCCGGTGGTTGGACACAGACGCTTGGTCACGAGCGGCTGATCAGCAGTATGTCTGACTCTCATCAACATACAGGACATGGCGCCACTCATCCAAGAATCTTGCAGACCACATCATATGGTCAAGTACTGACTGGCTCCTGGAATGATGACTCAAATTGAAGTTCCACTCTGAACTACTTATTGATTGGCGCTGATATGATGTCGATTTCTGACAAAATATGTAACAGTCGAGTAAATCAGGATCAATCCAGCGACCTTCTTTGCACATTTGTACCGTTTCCCTTGCAGATAAAAGTACAGTGACGTATGGATATTATCGTTATCATTAAACGGATGACACTGTGTAACTATTTCTCAAGTACTTTTGTCGTATTTTAAAGATATCTGCTGTTTCTTTGCCAGTTATGCTTGCACTGTTCCACTGTTTTTTTCGGCTACCGTCAAATGATTAGGGTGTTGTCATAATATAACGTCTGAATGGCAAGTTTCCCTTGATGAAATATTGCAAACGAAATTCGGGTTTCATAACCAAGTAGCCAATATCGCCAAAAAATCACAGTTTGTATCGGTGGCTAATTTTTCTATCATTTCATATGCAAACTATGCGGTAGATCGACAGGGCGAGAAACAGAGCAAACATATATTTTTTCGGTAAAACTTTGTGACGACGTTTCGTAACCTTCGTCACAACTCTCGCCAGAGTCAGCGAAATGAGATTAACATTAGCTGATCGTATCCACTGGATTAAATTTGTCAAATCATGAAATATACTGCATTCAGGACACATCGAGAACACATTGTTACAGTGAACGCGTTTATGATAATACCTCACAGTAAATGATTGACATTTGCACCAGTAACCCGACGAAACAGTGTAACAGTTCGGTAAGGTGAAAAAAGCCCATCTGCTGTGAGATTCAGCCGACAAAAAACTGTTTTTTAACCCCCCACACAATTTTAAGTGCACTTTACCCGGTAAACTTAAAACACCAATGATTTTTCACCTGTTTGTCGCATCAAGAGACTAAACAATAATGTGTAGAAGTTCCACCCAGAAGTGCATCACTTGAACTAAGTGAAGCATTTGCGCGAAATAGAAAATCAAACCTGAAATGGAATAAGCATCTGGTGAAAACACATTGGTTGAGGTTTAAATGCACAACAAAATAGTTGCTTGCGTTCAGTTAGTTCCCACACATTAAATTTTATTTTTATGTACATTTTTAAATAAAATGTTGGACATTGGTTTTTGAATGTTTTAAAGCTCCCTTAATTGGATTTTCTGCATTGTCAGGACAACATTTTTGGAATAAAATTAGGCTAGATAATTTCACTCGGGAAACCACATTTGCCAGGCTACCTAGAACATTTAGAGCGCAGTCAAGTAGTAGTCAAGTCTGTTGTGCTCCACCGAGATGTAGCTAATTTGAGCACGGTGACTCGTGCGCTCAGAAGGAAATCGAAAGCAGAATTGTAAGGGTTGAAGGCAGGAAAGATTTTATTATCAAAACCTTTTGGTAATGCCAATTAGTTTGGACGTACAGGGTACATACCGTACCGAATACGGTTGATAAGGCCAAACAAAAACACGCGCTCGATAACTTCCGGGTTAATGAAACCAGGCAATATTCGAACCAAATCAGAGAGATTGTTTTGACATATATGTGCCTAGATTTAAATGTTTTTGGATGCGTTCTGCGTCCAAATTACAGGACACAGCGAGATTAACAGGTTACGTTACGGCCACAAATTCGGCAACGCAGCCTGACATTTGTTCACCAAACGCGTTTTTTTTCAACAAACATCCAATAAACACTAACACACGGTCAATTACTTTGGTACTGTTGTACCCATTGTAATTTCATACTGATTCATTTTTTGGCCTATTCATATTGTCATTTAGGACGCAAGCTCACATCTATACTACATTTAAAACAAATGTCCTCGATTGTGAATGCATAAATAATGATTTTTTAAAATTTTACTTCAAAAATATCCTTATAGTTTACAACAGATCTTACATAAATTATCAAGCAAGCATCATAAAACGTTCCAGTTCGAACTATAGCGAGTTACACGTCGTTCTGTGGGAAGCACCGGCGCATTACTCATTACCAATAATTTTCCTTTTTGAATATGTATTTGATGCGTGTGATTAGCATGTAATTTAATTTCATACTTATGCTGAATTTTGAACCTACTCTGAGATGCGGAGAAGACCGAGTGAAATCCATCTTTGTGATGTGCCACCAACAGACTCGGCAAATACAAAGAAAGCCACAAGCTCAACAGTGCGTAAGACAGTTGTTTCATTCAGTATAGATTAGAGACGTCGTAGTGGTTGGTTTAGAAACTAACAACGAGCTCACTGGAAGAATAACTGGACTAGTCAGCCGCATGGGCGCCATGTCCTACAAAACTTTCTTTTAAATGAAATTCAGGTTATTGTATCTTAGCTTCGGTGAGGCCCACAGTGGCCAGTATCATTGTTTCAGTATTCTGCTCCGGTAATTTTACCGGTTTTTGCAGACAAATGGAAACTGGACACATTATTGCTGGCTTCGAAACTCATATGCGCGTAAGAGATTGACGATCAACATTCCATTTTGTGAGTGACCAAAGCCACAATAATGACCCCAAATATGAAGGTAGTCCCTTCCGGATTTGGCGAAATTCATTTACTCAGCGACTTCGAGAATGTTCAGAAAAATCTGTAAGAGAGCTTGGCTAAATGCATTTTTGAAAAAGCATACTCACTTTCAGTTGCAGCACTGTTGACACACTGCACGCCATCTGGCGGTATCAACGACAGTCCACAACTTGGAATTTCCAGTGGCAATTTCATTCGTCTTGCACCTTCATTTTTTTCAAAAACCGGAGAATTCGCACGCCATGGGAGGGTATTTTTTGACAGTATCGAATAGACCGTCTACAGTGTCAAACTTGACGCGCAGCTGTTAGTGACATTTTTTCATTGGGTTGCGATGTTCTCAGAACAATTGTGTAATGTACATCTTGAATGGCGACCTAGCATATTACCAGGGAAAACCTCCAATACGATGAAGTGAGCGCCTTTGAAAGCCCGCTCCATCATGCAATAAATCGTGAACTTCAGCCATGTCCCCTGGCTTCATAATCAAAATAAGCATATGGTAGTCGTAAAATGACAACACGGCATTCTGAACAGCAGACAAAGTATTCAGCATGCTAGCAAGTGTGCTGCACAGTGGTGATCTTTGGTCACGTGTCAGCATACTGACTTGTCTTGTTAGTGTTAACCGGTTCGAAATTGCACCTTCTAGCCACTTCAAAGAAACAGAGATTAGTCTGATCCTCATTCGGCTGTCGCACGAAGTTTCTGGGCATAACGATAATATACTATTAACAATCAACGTGTTTTGGTTTGCGCAGTTCTTGCTAAGTTCTTTATGCCCATAACAGATCTATTGGTATGCTGGTCAAAGTTTTACACTTCCCTGTGGGTTAAGTCAGGCCTAAAACTTTCTTTGACAAACGATTCAGTGCACATTTTGACTCCCAACGCGGGTTATTTTGCCTGGAGTCATATTATCATTTAGAATTTTGTGGAACACTATAAACGACTTTCGTTCTTATTGCAAAATATCATCATCGCACGAAACGCAAGAGATTCGAAGCCGCAACCTCCTGGCTGAATACTTGACTATTCAGCCGTGAGTGGCTCAACAGCAATGTGATGAGCTCTCACTTAGGTAGGATATATTTTCACATATTAATCTTGACAAATAGTCCAAAGTGCTAGTGAGCCTGTGGATGTTTCGCATCATTTCTCTAAAGGTAGTGAACCCCTGGACACCAGATTAGAACGAATCAACTACATCCCGCCACTATTTGTTTGTCCGTCATCAAACTGTCACGTGGCGCTGTAGACCCGCAATACTGCGAAGTCTCGGTTAAGTGTAGTAAGAATGATGAAAAAATAAATCACCATCCACTCATTATTCATGCAGGACTGCCAATAGACCCTGTATTATGACGTCGAAGCTGAATACATATGAAATGGATGGAAATGTGCTGTGAGTCCATAAGATATGGTTCCGAATAAACAAATTAAATTCTGTGGATGAAGACAAAAATGACCTGTTACACCGGCTTCTTAATTAGCTACAAAACAAATATGCATCGTTATCTACATAGTAAGCTGATGCATATACCATAAGTCCAGAAGTACTGTGTCTGAGTAAAGATGTCCACAATCATAATATGGGATGTTTATCATCACAACAGTGACCAAGGACGAGAGCTTCAGCTGGGTTCCATAAAAATCAAAAAGATAAGCAAATGAGAGTATCTATCAAGGAAAGATAATACGGTTCGCGACAACTCGGTGACTGTGCCTGTCTTAGTAGCTCTAGGAAAAGGAAAACAGGTCCAGTTTTAGCAGTCCTACAAGTAGTATGCTACGTCTATACAATGTACTGCGATATCTTAAAGCAACTGAAAAAAGGCGGGTTAATGAGGCACATTCGGTCGAACAGCACGATAAGCCAGGGCTTCAACTGAGACTCAGGTGGGTCTTTCGTTAAGAAAACGGGATGTAACAGATTATATCTGATGCAGCCGGATACTTCTGGACAGTGGTTGTGTATAACGGATAACCGCAGCTTCCACTCAGACTCAACCTGACAACTCGAAATATTTGATCAGCGCGCTTTAGTATATCGCGGCGGAGTTTTTGAGAACTTCATTAGTCGACTAAGGCAGGCATTCCGAGAAGCGAAGTGATAGATGATTTTTATCCGCACTCAAGTACGTCCCGTCGTATAAACGCTCTTAGTTTCTGCGCTGGGTTGCGTGCTAATTGGTTGTCTTTTATAAGTTGTCAGTTCAAAGAGACAGTCAAATCACGTGGTAAAACTACCGGAGTTCAAGTCATTCTGTCAGCACGCTGTCTTTTCCTGGCACTTTTTGGGTTTATCAGTAAAGACGATTCCCCATATTTCCCACAAAATAAAGTTTCACCATTTTGTCTGAGTTTCTGCTGTGATTATTAAGAGGCCAGAAAAAAGTTACAAGTTGAGACACATTCCAGACTTTTTCACATAAATATCTTGACATGGTCACTACGATTTTTCTGAAGAAATTATTTTTTTAGTGACAGACGTTGCTTGTACCTCACTTCGGTCTCTCGTGTGACAAAATGCTAGTCCAAATAAAACAGAAATTCTTACATGTTTTTTAGTTTGCAGCAGTTTAGCATGTAAAAAAACGTCTTGCGGACATACTGCAATTCATTCCTACGTTTGTCATAAAGTTAAGTGAAACAAACGCATAATTTATGGCTACGATGAACAGAATGTGGAACGCACCCAGGAACATTTTGTTTTTCAAGTTCGTGTGAGATTCGGGCTTGATATATTCTACTCGGTCCAGTTGGAAGAACGCCTTAACTTCAAATTCTACAAAGCACTCAATACATTATTTAACGCCTGTGAACGATGACCATAGTTTCACAAGCAAATCTCGTATAGCATTCCATAGAGAAAAAGTAACTCAGTGATGCAAACAGAGGAACTGCGTTACTTAAAAGAAGTGGAAACATCAAAGTCGGAAAACAAGAAACAGTGATACTGTTTCTGCGCAGCCGCGTCAAATGTGTAGCTGTCAGCGCATGAAAATAGGTTATCCACTCGGTCAAAAAACATCAGTCTTGTTTGAACATGTTTTCTTCACCCAGTGATTTAGAGTCATAGCCCGATGTGTAGAAAAGCCAAATCATTGTTTCCTGTTCTTCCTCGGTAAATTGTTCCTTGTGAAACATAACCTAAAGCTTCTTGGAAAACTGCCCCTAGTTTAATTCACTCTGGATCCGAGCTCCGATTATGCGAGCAGAGCCACCATATCTGGTTTTCAAAGCTGACATCATGTTAAATTAGCTTCATGTTTACAGTTTGCTTCCCCGTTTTTTAAAAAATATCTAAGGACATTAAAAATAATTTCAGCTTGCTAGGACTGACACACAGACGGCTGACACAAACTGGCTTACTTGATGCTAACTGGCTATATTTTGAAATTCGGGTCGATGCTAAATTTAACAGAAGAACCAACGTCTGATTATAGCCTTACAAAACCCATTAGTCTGGCTTCCGGCCTATGCAAATATGGGTCGGTTTGCCAAGTGAAGGATTTCACTCTATATCGGACAAACACTGCGTTGTGAATCGGTAACCTTTCATCTCTATACTCACTGCAGTTTCCTGATCGTGAACGTTATTTATCCTGGGTGACCCGAATGGCACCTCTACCATCGTTTGAGGTAAAACAATCTTGCTTAGTTGCCGTCTGCTGAATGAAAAATCGGACAGAATACGGAATTTTTTCTTTGTTTCATCAAGTCCAATGACCCACACTTTCTGACATCTGTTCAAGCTGATACCTAAACTAGTTGCTAGTACTGAATACATTCTAGACGTATTACGGTTTTTCAAGAGGCTCGTCCTGGGAACTACACATACGATGAATTCTCTTGTCTAAAGCGGTTGAACGGTGTGATCTAGGACGCTTCCGGTGGGTTAGGTAAATGAAATTGGCGTTTTCGTATAATAGCAATGTGAACGATAAGGTACCAACTCTTTTACACCATTCCAACGTGAAACACACTCGATCATCGCTTTCCCACATATTCTGGACACATCCTGCCGTTCTCCTCACAGCTTGCTGATTCCCATTCGTGAGTTTGTGCTTGAGTCCTTGACCGTACCCCTTTCATAATAACATCTCTCTGTTCAACCTTGTCAGATGGATTGTGACCAACGTCCGTGTCATTTTAACCGCATACCCCAAACCCCGGAAAATGCAAACAATCCTACCCACTCTGCGTGGTAATCAGTGTTGTGCCCATTCCCACCTTCGCTTCCAAGCCTTATCTGAATTTCCTAACCCAGAAAACGCAATGTTTCATTTCCTTCCGATTTTATTTTCATAATTGGTATATAATGCATGCTGCTCTTGGTATCGCCGACGCCGAGAGCCAGGTCTCAAGGGGGTTGCGTCTTTAAAGGACTTATTGCACCCGAAAGTTGCCATCGTCGGTAGTAAATAAATATCAGAAAAATCGACTGAGCACAAAAACGTGAAACAGATGGAATCGCAGAGTGCAAGGTGTCGCAACTGGAGAGGATGATAATTAAAAGGCCAAAAGGCCTTTCAAATTTAAGAATTCTTCGCCATGTGACTCAAATTCGGATAATTTGAGATAATGACTAATGACAGAATCGCGTGCTCAACTCAGCTTACTGATCTCGCTGGTCAGTCTCGCAAGTCAGTGTGGCCATATAATCCAACGATGCTCGTTAACTTAAACCCAGATCAGTTTGTTCCTTATCAAGAAAGCAACTAAAGTCCAGCCTGAGTCTCTCGTTTGTGATATTTTTCACACTATAATCATAAACGTTTCGTTTGTGTATGTCTTAAGCAAAATTATTGGATGCGCATTGTCATTGTCTTTGGCAAGAATTAAAACTTCCATACAGTAGTACTTGGCCGATGACTCTACTCAACGCCCAAAATGAAATTTAGACAGGAATAAGTATTTGAATATATCCGTCAGCGGGACCAGGCTAGTGGCAGAGTGGATTGCCAACGGGGCATTCTGTAAGCTACCGGTTCTTACGCATAAACTTAGATCTCTATTGCCGCGCTACAACTTGGGGCAGTAAAACCCCTTCTCCGTTCCTGCAGTGATCCTGACATTTGGAAAATTTCCGCATTGTTCCGGACATTCCTTCTACGTTGTAAACATTTAAAAGAATATTTTGGAGTGTGCATAACAAAGATGATATAAGGTTACGAAGCTTCCTTTCTCCGGGAAATGCGTCTTGCAGCTGTGCAGTGCTCATTAATCGATTTGTTTAGGACTCTGCTGTTTTGTCAAAGCGCTCAACCCTATAAAGATATAACCGCAACTGTATTTGTCCTTTATCATTACAGCGTGGGGAAAATGTGAAAAAATACCGCGAAGAGGTAAGCTCAGTAAAACGTTATGTTTATTGGTTTTGCTGGAAAAAATATCATTGGCTTTCACGAAACTGCTTATAAATTGTAGAGCGGAGCAAGAATAAACATTTCAGACGGCTCGAGCCCAGAACGCATTGTGACGATAACAGGGACCACGGAGCAGATTTCTGTTGCCTTCACTTTGATGAGTCAAAAGTTCGAAGATGTGAGTTGTTCCTTTCCCCGGGTTTTGAACTGATAACGATTTGATGGAGCTTGAGCAGTTTTAAATAAATAATTAACAATAACGTGCAAAATTTAACTCACACAAGATCAAAATTTTTTGTCTGAATCTGTCAAGCCGGGGAAATACGTGCTAGAAAATAAGGTGCCGCTCGCCGTACATCGTAAATCATTTCCAGTATCTAATTAACTGTGGAAACAAAACATAAAACACGTCTACGGCGAAGAAGTAAAGATTGCTCTCGTGGGTTATTTACTGCTTGAGTATACAGATTTAAAGCATCAATGCTAACCGCGGAACAAAAAACCTCGCAAGAATGTTATTTCTTAACAGTTTTGTGTTTGACAGAATACTGGCTAAATGTATAATGTTGTGGAAACTCTAAAACCGATGTACAACTGCAATTAAGGTGTAAATAATTTGTGAATGAAATTTGGCATCCTTACCTCTGTCTCTCCACAAAGGCTACAAAACAATAGGCCAATCATTACAATGTGTTTTTTAAGGGCGCCTTAGTCAACAGATCAAAAGAGTTCACATACGGTCGACCCTTTTGGAGGGGGCTTCTAAAAAGCAGTAGCGGTATTTTTTGGTCCTTCAGCATTTTTGAAGAGGCTATCCAAACAGTCATTTACAATGTGGGTGTCACATATCGTAATCCAGACGCGAACCACTTTTGCAACACTCGTTTTTTCAACCTGACGAAAACTCAAGGATCATTTGGATTCACACAAAAATGGATCCATTTTCTGTCGAAGAGTTTTTAGCAACCTTGTGAGTAGTTCGTTTTATGAAAATATACTGCAATATCTCGAATAACGTGCCAACTGAAACATGAGGCGGCCTGCGTACAGCACATTCAGTTGTAGAATATCATGAACGAGAGATTCAGTCGAGTCTCTCGTAAAAACCAAATTGATTTGCAAATTAGTGTATTTTTCGAAAACAGTCCAATTTGGTTGCAAGTAGAACATAAGGTTGACGGAACGTCGGGGACTGAGCCTATCTGATGAGCCCAGGAGGGGCGTAACCGGTCGTGGATTGTCGAAGAGTTTTCAGCTACTAGGAGGAAACTACTGTGAGTAGTTTCCTATATGAAAAGTGAATCCACCTCTGTAGGCTTGTACTGTTGTGCAACACCCAAAGCATTTGGTTGGTTCAGTGAGCTAATCATGTGTGTACATAGCGCCGCTTCAATCAGTTGCATTGGGTCACAAATAGTCTTGCCTTTGGAATGTAACAACAAAACTATAGATAAGTTAAAGGTACGATTTTGGTACCACAAACCAAGTCTAAAAAAGTGATCCATAAAACATTATTTTTGCAACACGCCTACGCAATCAAACCATATATCACCAAAAGCTCCTAGCGCGTGTGTTTATCTTTTCTCGGTCCTGTGACACAATACCTCACACACCCGTTCGCCAGTCACGCCGTTACTGCGACATCTGTCAGCTGATTGTCTATACAACATTTCTGTATTGTTGTACACGTTATAACTCGCCTCATAAACTAATCGCGTGAGCTTTCCCAGGTTGACTATTTAACTGTTAGATAAGCACTGATTCGGGGGTTAGATTCAAAACACAATTTGTTTGGTAATTATTCCCCTTTTATATTATCTTCTATTTTCTTTAGGACTTTACTCAAGGTCTCCTGAGAATGGGTGATGAAGTTCTAACGTGTCCCCCGGTAACTCTACGACTTTTGGTTCCAGCAACTCAATGTGGTTCCATTATCGGGAAAGGTGGATCTCGAATCAAAGAGGTTCGTGAGGTGAGCTGCGTGTAATATGTTACGGGTGCTTCCAATTGAATACTAATTTGTAAGAAGAACCAACACCGGTTTCCATAGGCACTAGGGTTTTTTGTAACATTGTTATGCCAATCGTCTTCGGCGACTTTCGTTTGGGCCATTTTGTTTTCCGCAAAATGCCTTGGAAATCAGCCATCAAAAGCAAGAACAAACAGACACATGTAGAATGATTTTTGTCAGTGTACTACCAATAGATATATTTATATATATCATATATATATATATATTACAATATTCACAGCTGAAATTGAACAAAAGACGCTCCTATATGATATGTCCAATTACAGTACGTCTGATATGTATTCATTTTAGAAACTTTAACAGATGATGAAACAAACAATGGATCGAATTTATTTGCTGCAATGACCTTCCGCCGAATTATTCATCCTAAAACTGTGCACCACAGAATCACAGCATTTTTCATCAGTGGTATTTGCCGTCCGACATCCATCCGTGCTTCACCCCCAGGGCTAATATAAATAAAGCATCATCAATCTAAACAGTGTTTGAAGCTTCCTGAATTCTACAAGGTGCATAGCGGTGTAAGTCTGACTATCAGTCATAAAAAACTTCATTTAGACGATCCAACACATATAGATGGGTTAAAACAGTGAAGTAACATACTCTTACTATTCTCAGTGGTGCGGCCAAAACCCTAGGTCATTCACTCGATAAATTGTTTCCACTTGTAACCTTGGTGTCATTTCCGATGAACATCCTTCTAAGTGAAATCGTCTGCAAGCTTCTGGATAGCACGGTGACGAGTTTTACTATTTCATTCATGGAATTGATTATGTGGACGACATTATCTGACATCAGTCTGAATCTTGAAGGCCCGAAAATATTGTACTATACCTTTGGTGAGAAAAAAGCTAAGACCCATCTCTTTTAGATTACAAATATTTGATCTAATATCCGAGCAGCTTTTCGTGCGCTCGACAGTATCTCTAAAACAGCCTTTTTTAAGTTCACTCAGCTGCTTCAAATACAATGACCACAGTCATTCATAGACCAATCCGCATGAAACCAGGCTGTCAGGCCTCTCTTTTGCCAATAAATATGCGCTTTTTACGCTTGGATCAATCATGTAAACTCGTACCAAATTGAAACAGTAACTCTCAACTTGAAGTTCGCAGTAACATGCCCATACTTCACCTACGAGTAGTAGCAATCGCATGTGTGCGGTATAGAAAAAATGAATATGAGGGGTCAGTTTATGTGTTGGTTAATGTTCTCCTTAAAAAGCGTTTATTCTTGAAATAGTAGAATCCCATGTTTGCAACATACCAAGTTTTGTTCCATTTCCATTGCAAAGTGAAGAGCTTACCAACTAATTCTTGATTCAAATCAAGTTGCTCAATGTCAATAAGTTGAAAATTAAATGGACAGCTAACCCTAATTCGTTTGCGGCTGTGAATATTACTGAAGCTTTTCACCGAACGCGTGAACGTCACTCGTCTCCAAAGTTACTGGGATAACTTTGTCATGCGTCTACTGTCGTTGCACTTATTTAACTATTTACACTATATTTCAATTACTACGCTACAAATTAGGAGATATAAGTAGAATAGAAACGTTCTTTTTGACAGAAAAAAACATAGTTCATACAATGAAGCAACCACAAAACATGTGGACCTGAACATGGAAATTTTGAAATAAATGACACTACTTTGGAAACAATGTTGCATTGCTTGTTCATGTGATTTGCTGAACTGAAGGAATTCACGGAGGTGTAGCTCAATCAAGTAACGAAAAAGTGCGATAACTGCAGAGATCATTTTGGTACATGCGTGTTTGGGGATGTAGTCGGTGGTCTCCCCAATGTAACGAATAAACCAATATTTGATGAAAGTATCTTTGGGAATGATTTTATTAAAACGGCCCATCAACTGTACGACTAAAAATAGCTGCTGCTGACGAACTTAACAGATAACGTGACTCTTCATCTATTTTTGCTTTTTTGTGCGCGTCAGCTGACCGGAGCCTCAATACAGGTTGCAAGTGAAGCATTGCCCGCTTCTACGGAACGAACCGTCACGATATCCGGTGCTGCCAAGGCTATCGCCAAATGCGTTCGACATTTATGTGATATTTTTGTTGATGTAAGTTTTCAGCGAACTAGCTAGTTTCGGGATCATTTACTACTATTGATGCAACACGCAAAGGCAATCAGTCTAGCGTTTGAAGAGTTTCTGGAAATTGCATGCTTAGTGTGCACAGTGAATACGAATTGTGAAAGTTTACGCTAGGTTGAAATTTACAGCATCGAATATATCTGGACAATAGAACTAAAATTAATTGACACGTCAAGTGGCTTTTAATAAATTATCCTTGTTTTTTTCATATATAAGACGTTTGAAACTAATAGCTTGTTATTACACAAAATCAAGAAAAAGCAAATAAACCAATCTCCTCTCAAGAAAAGAGCTTTTGTAGACTTTCTCAATACTTGGCTCCTGGCGGCTCAAACGAACAAATCAAACTTTATTACACTCTGTCTCAACTAGGATGCTACAGCCTCTTTGATTTCCGGAGGCAAAAATTCTTGCGCCGGTATACGAAAAAGCGTTTTATTGATGATGATCTGAACGCTCTAGATATTTAAAACTCGTATGTACTCATATTCCGAGCAAGACAATTCAGTAATATCTGCCTGTATAGTGGTCGTCAGCCACCGTGATCCTGAATCTCAAATTTTAATGCACAAGGTGAACCGGAACTCAGCAACCTCGCACAAGGACACATTGTTTTACGGCGCAGAAAAGATTCGTTGAAATCTACGTCATTGATGACAATCGTAATTGCAAAATATCTCACGGATTAATTCTGCATGTGTGACCTGACATAGCTGAAAACTAAGTCAACAAAATAACATCTAGATGGCACACCGTATTTGAGATGTCCGCTCGTTGTTGCCATATTGATTAGCACTGAGTAGAAAATGAACAAAATGACGTTATTTAATCTTTATTCTAAGAGATTATGTTATTATTCTTACTACCTCCATCTATTTACACGGAAAACATAAAACCGGAGGCAACTGTGATGGCTCCTAGCAGAAATCCGACCTGGATTGCTTTAAAATCATTAAAAACCGAAAAAAGTTTGGGCTGTTCTTTGCCGTTCGGTTGTTATAACATTTGTGATTTATTTGGCCCAATGTATTTAGATGGCAGTAAATTTTTTCTACCCTGTGTTTAAAGTTCAATGCTTCTTTTTACGCCACGTGATCGAAAAAGACCCATCGATGCATCGATGCATTTGATCCTTTATGGGAGAACTTACCATTCCGGCGAGTTACACTCAGCTAATCCGCCAAAGTTTGCAGATAGTATTCAACCCACATATCATGCAGGAAAGCATTCATATCAAAGACATCCACAGAATGACTAGGACCATTCCTTTATTTGGAAAATATTGCCAAGAAGGGATCACAACCTTTCTATCGTAAGAAGAAAAAATTGCCAGACTGTCCCTGAGGCCAGTTGTTTCACCTTCCGTAGTCGTTGATGAACTTTAACAACGAATATCTTCATACTCCAGAGTCATCTCCTGGTATTGGCGTATGCAAGGCACAAAAGGCACCAGCTGATATATGTCGTGATCAGTGGATTCCAGGTTCTCGGAATCCCGCCCCATCTATGAATAGGGATGATTTTCAGTACGGTAGCTGTAGAAAAAAACCGAATTGAATGACCATTTAGCAAGCCAACGGAATAGTGACTTCTTACTTATGTTTTGGATGTACGACTTTTGAGACGGTGAACTTCTCAAGCCAGCGCCTGTAAGCCGAAAGAGATCAGTTTGTTGAGGTTTGTTTTGTGCGCTAAAAAATGGAAAAACTGTGGACCTGGTTGGTAGATGAAACTGTGGAGTCTGCGTGCAGTCTAGTAAGATATTAGCAATTTGAGTGAGGAGGTAGAGAACGGTAAACACCAACCGATAACAGACAAGTCAACATAAGGTAACCTAGCTTAGTTCTCCTTGATTGTATTCTATGTATTATAACTTCAGTAGCAGTAACACTACTGATGTTAGTGAAAAACTGCAAAGTCTGTATAAATTGTTTTGTCGGAACCTAGTAACCGCGCATATATCCATTTGCATACATATGTATGTATATATGTACACATGCACATGTGTACGCGTAAAGACGACTGTAACAAATGGTTTTCAGTTCGATAACAAGATATACACTTTTTAAATTGTATTCATATCACCGTCGCTTGATCAACCCCATCGTTGCATCGGCTAAAGACGAAATCAGTGGATTTGGGTGCCTTTTTGCTGGAATCCCTCAGCCCGGCTTCACCGAGTTTCACTCGTCAGACAAATGCGAATAGTGATGTGCATTCATTAAGGACGGCAGTCTCGACATTTTTTCAACAGGGAAAACTTCAACCTTGACTCCCACAAAGTGGAAAATCATGACGGAAAAAGACCACTCACACAGAACAAATTCAAACAGAATATTTTTTACAGGCATCGACCAAACAAGAAATCTGCCTTCCAACATTAGGAAGTGAATCAAAAGCTTTCGACTGAAAATTTGATGCCAGTTTGCGAATGAAATGCTATTTTTCCATTCAGCATGGGTTTTGTTTATTCACATAATCCTGAAGGTGTATTTTCCTACCATCTGTCGCGGTAAATACGATTTCTTTTTAAACAGTCCCCGGCAAAAGGCCCGGTGATTCCCTACCGACCAAAACCAGCTTTTACAAGTCAAAACATGACTTGTCCAGGAAGTCCGTTCCCAACTGGGTTGATCCATCCGGCAATGGCATTTTCCACCAACGGATCGGAAGTTAGTTTTTATGCTATTATTAATGCGCGTAAATTGTATTAGTTTTATGCCGCACGTTGCTCTGTGTCGCATGTTGGAGATGTATGGGTGAACTACACCAATTTCCTTACATCAAAGTGCACATCTACCATAAGTACCCCTATGTCATAAAACTAGGTTCATGAAATCCTGACTACAGATGACAGTTGATAAAGTGTCTACGAAAAGTGAACCATGATTCTGCCTCGGTCCAGTGAGAACATGAGAGAGGGAACAAGGACGTTTTTCACTAAAACCCAATTTCTAAAAGTTTACTTTTTGTGCATCAGGTGGGATTTTTCTGGAGGACACTGTCCGTGAGAAATAATGATAACGAAGTGAATAGATCTCCATAAAAAGTCAGCTACATTGACATTCAGAAGAGTTGAAACACGAGCAAAATTGTACAATTTATTTTGGCCAGATTCTGCCAACGCCAAGTATCCAAACGCAAGTTTTTCTGGTGCTTTATAGCCTACTAGATTGTCCGCTTAGATCCCTCAGCAATAGGACAAGGTGAAAGCAAAAAAAACGGTTGCAGTGTTTAGCAAGTGACGAGATGCGAATTCACACACTGTATCGAGGCACACAAACAGCTGCTGGAACTCGACACTTAAAAATGCTATCGATGGAGGTCACTGGTGTTAGCACGCCATGTTTCTCAATCCACCATCATGATAGTTTAGCTAGCGTCAAGATACGTAGTAAAAAATCCATGCGTACGCAAATTTGAATAGCATACTGCTTCCCGCGTAAGATTGGCCAATCAGTAACAAGACCATTGTCGTAACATATTTAAAAAATATAGCTACTGGCAGGAAAGTTCAGAAGGAAAGTTCCGCACCAAAACCGGAATAGACATAACATACACATGACATCACCGCCCGTAGAATTCATCACAAGAACACAGTCAAACTTTGTACTCAGTTGGCGGTAAACTGGTGTTATTAGCTGAATTTTACAGGACCAAGTGCTTATAAAAACCTCTGTCTAGTCCGTGCGGTTATATTGCTGCTTTACCATTTTTTAAGTTCACATTTAATAAATCCTTGACTTGACTGTTTACACCCCTAACTGTGAGAGTCTTTTATCATCCAGTTAGCGATGTCCTTTTTCTTGAGCCCGCTATCTGTCTCTAGAAAAGAGTAATGTGTTGTTTTTGAAGTCATATACAGCACACAGAAATTCACGATACAGCTTAACCATACTGGACCTAAATGGCATAACAAGCTGTAGAGGCTGCAGTACCATCTATAGTCTATGTTGAGATGATTAAATGTCGTTTCTCCATTGGTCCATTACAACATTCCAAAGCTGATTCCAAATCAGATGGCTCTCGTCATTGTCCCCCGACGGTTTGTAGGCATGAATGATAAGTGTATGTCTTTTACTACGGTGTAAGTGGGGAAATACTTTTTGTCTGTTTCCACCAAACAAGTAGGAATTACCTTGAATCGTATACCTCAACATTCACGTGCACACATGTAGGGATATGTAGTAGACACGTAGTCAGACGGCATACCAGACCATGTTCTTCCTCTTTCTTATATGTTTTAACTTGAGCTTTCTTGATGAAATCGGAACTTTGTAAAATGATGTTTGAAACATTTTTAACCGAGCGCTTAAATAAGTGCGTCTGAAACATAGCAAACTTTACTGAATAATTAAATTTATTCAGGCACCTGGTTGGCACTGATCACTGTTATAACATGGTTGTGGGTTGAAAAATAATAAATACGCAATGCTAAGTAAATAATAAAAGGCCACAACTAGTGAACAATTAACTAATCAACAGTATAAGGTAAAGCAGAATTGGAAATAGATAAATAAAAACGGGAAAAGTGTAATGAAGTAGGTGCTTGTGATTCACGTAGTTTTCATCTTACGGAAAAACATTGAATTTCGCAGTTCTTTTGTGTGAGGTCAGCGCGTAAATTGAATGTTCAGTAGTCAGCCGGACAGAAACTAGTCTAGTAGCCCATAATTAACTAATATTAATTCTGTTATCCTTTGGAACTAAGTTTATCAAAGCAGAAGATTTTCATCAGGTTAAATTTGTGTAACCTTGCTGATTCGAATCCATAATCCGCCGTCAACAGACTTCGAAGAGGAGAGTATCTCAGTAACATGTGGCCTTCAGGTGAAGAAACCGTAATTTCAGGAGCACGGGTAATAACATCAAGAATAAGGGAGCCAGTAGTGCCGCTGCTGCGTGTGGCCCAATGGATGGTACTCACCAAGCAAGGTAAATCACTTGCATGTGGTACACACAAGCCAAGACATATCAACACAATCACATCAGTTAACCCGTCATATAGCCTTGCATCTGAATAGTATTCAAGCATTGATCATGAAATAGGACTACTTCTTGACCAGCTCTCTTGGGCAGAACAAAATCAGAAAGCGCGTTCTATCCATGCCAAGCGATGGCGAGTAGTCTGTGATACCACAAAAAGGACATCCCAACTGATAGGTCAAGATCTCCTTGAGCTGTTCTCGCGACCACAAGAGATGCGCTACCGTGCCGGAGAGGAGCGTTCAGCCATGCTGGAGAAACTGACTTCCCCAGGCATGTGTACGTGATGTCAATTAAACTACCTCCGTACCGTGAGCTTGAGACTACTTTCTGGTTAGCAATGGCATTGTGGATTGGAAGCGCACATTGTTTTGTCGCTGTGAAAGGTATCACGCTACACTCAGTATACAGTGTTCTCAGGCATGTCGCAACGTATTCACACACAGGTGGCGCTGTATAAATAATAATACAGGTTATTTGACCAAACTTTGTGTGTGAACCCAAGCTGTTTGACAACAGAAAATTATGCGGTTAGAAAGTGACGCTATTTGATTATTTCTAGCATTAAAAACTTTTGTGCTTATGTTCTACTTCGGAAGAACGATTTTTGTTGCTGGTAATGCACTACTCATTAGGCTGCTGAAAGTTCTTCGACAGCCCACAACCTGTTTCGCCCTTCTTAGGGCTCATCAGGTAGACGCAGTCTCCGAGTTTTCGTCAACCTTATGTCCTAATTGAAACCGAATTGCATGAACTTAGCGAAATACACTCGGTTGCAAATAGATTTGGCTTTGCGAGGAACTCACCTGAAACCCAGCTGAACCTCCCGTAGGTGATGTTTCCAGGTGATGTTCCAGGTGAGTCTCTCGAAAAAAACAAATTTGTTTGCCAATGAGTGTATTTTGCTTATTTTCGTTGTTATTCTCGGATATTTTGTAACCATCGTGATAACGCCTTTCGCATCGGTTGCTTTTACACGCTCTTCGAACATGGTTCAAGATATGGTAGAAATTAAGGGATTCCATACTCTAGTAAATCACACGTGTCCACACGTGAGATACTGATATTAAATCCAACAAATCATTGAGGAAATAGCGTTTTACCTTAGTGACGATAAATAACAGCAAATAACTTTATCAGCATACCAATCTGATTTTCACCTGAAATTTGCCGCACACAGGCCGCTTCATGCTTTACTTGGTACTGTATTCGGGATATCACAGTATATTTGCATGGAAGAAACTATTTACAAGGTTTCTGAATATTGTTCAACAATCCGCTTCCGGTTTTGTTCTTTTGGAGCCAATCAAGCAGATGGAGTCCGATGTTTCCATCAATCTCAAGTTTCACTTGTGCTACTTGTCGGATTTCTGCAATTTGGGTTCCGTTAAAACATAGGATTGACAAAAACTTGGGGACTGCACTTACCTGATGAGTCTCAAGCAGGGCAAGACCGGTTGTAAGATGTCGAAGCGTCTTCGGCGACTTCGTGAATAATTCCCCTCATATAGATAGACTTTTATTTATTCAGGGCTTTCGGGGTACACCACCCAGCGTCTTTACCGTTTGATATCTTTAATAGCTAAGAAGTACTGTTTGCTATGATATTTAAGGCGTTACTGAAAAGCGTCAGTTGCTTCTGAAATGTACGTGTACAGAAGGACGGGAAACGTTACACTTAGCACATGACGTCGGTAATGTAAAAATTCCACAAATTTATAACCACTATGTTTAGACCTTCGGCAGAAATTTGCTAAATCTTTGCCTAGTGAGGAAGTAGAGTCACAACTCCTACCAAACTTGACTAAACGTGAGGAAATCCTACAGCCTGTCAGACTTACAAGCATCACTTTAGCTGAAACCTCCAAATTCATTCCAAAACCACTGATTACTCAAATTTCATGGCTAAATCTGAATAATTTTCGGGGCGATCCGTAATCGCACTCAGACTGCTTACAAAGACAAAATGTGGTAACTTTATTCACCAACGTTTCGGCTCACCGGTGAGACAAAATGAATACTGACATTGAAGCGATTAGGGTAAAATCCATGTAACATTGTCTTGAAGCCACACTAGGAATCTGAAACAGCTGTCCGGAATAAACAGTACCATTCTGTTAGATGCTGGGCTCACTGCTTGACCGGGTGATGGTTAGCATGCGGAGAAACGAAAAATGTACTTTCACTGTTCTATGAGTCATAATACAACTTTCCAAAATGTTATGCTTCGACAACCATTTATGGTCTGCAAGAGACTCACCATGGATTCACCCCAGGTCTCATCTTATTAGTTTTTGATCAGCTGGCTGTTCGGCGAGCCTGTCAATTGAATTGCAAACGTTTCTTCCAACGATGAGACGTTATCAGTGCGCACTGATCACCAACGGATCACCCGAGCAACTACATTAGGACTTATTGTGCTATCCACGGTACTATTTCCCTTACTGACACAAGTACAAAATTACATTTTTCGGCTTAGAGTATCAGCAAACAGAACGACTTTTAAGGACTATTCTAATTTATTAAACCTATGCTGATGTAAACGGAGACAGGAACAATATTACCCGTTATCAGCTCGCTTCATCCCAAGTTCCACCACTGGAATTTAAGATCAGAGAATATGTTGCGCTCGCACATTTGTTGATTGGGGGATAAGCTGTGTTTTGCTTGTAACCTACCGGGAGGG